TCTTGAGTTCCTGAGCTGGGGCTCACTTGCGATAGAGAGTGTAAAACATTTTTTCTTGCTTAAAATTACCATAAAAGAAAAATTTTTAACAAAACGGATGCGATCAGGAGAATAATTATATATCTAAACAATTTTTGATTTTCATTATTTTTAAATAATTTAAGGATTTTTTAAGGATTTTTTTTTTATATATAGATAAATATTATTTCTTTATTTTGTTTATATATGACAAAATATACATTATAAAAGAAACATTATCTCTCATATATTGGTACAATAAGTTAAATGTTAGTTTGCTTACAATAACTATATAACTAATATTGAAATAAAAGTTTAAAACAATATATTTTGTTATATAGTATTAAGCAGTTATAAATATCTACTCAGTATTAGGAGGAATAGTATTTGGAAGAGATAATATTAGATTTTAAATATATTTGGAGAAATTATAATTATATTAAATAAAAAAAAACTCTTTTTCACAAATCTCAAAACTCCCAAAAATTTCCTTTTTTGGTAATAATAAAAATACTCAAGAATACTTAAAGAAATATTTAAAGAAAACATCAAGAGGAAAACTTTACAACATCTTCCTGAAAACAAAGAAGAACAAACATAACAGGTATACTATGAATTCAAAAAATATACTAACTCTTCTTTATTCTTTATTTTTAAAGATAGATACTTGTGATTTCTTACTGGGAAAGAAAGAAAAACAAGAAATACAATTCACAGTAAAATTAAAAGCGAAAGTCAACATCGTATTTCACAAGCTGTCAGCCAGTCGTGCATCATATTAGATACCTTTCTAGACACTAGCAGGACTCAGTATTGGTCAGATTACACTTAATAAACCAGGCAACCTCACATATCAACACAGAATCAGAAGGGTATCAAGACTTTCTCATCATTGTAATTGAAAAGAAAAGTACAAACCTCAATATTTTTGAAAATAAACAACAACCGTTATACAATCAAATTTTTGTTAAGGACAAAAAACTAAAGACAGGTTACTCTCCTAAAGATCAACAATAATGCAAACACGTACTTTCAAAACCAAACAATAACAACAACTACCAAACAAACAAACACAATCCAAAAACATAAACATGTGTAAACAACAACTCCAAAAAGTACTAAAGTCAGTTTACTTCCAAAGCAAGATTTGCAGTAACACGAACACGTTAATAGTACAAATCAAGCAACAAAGCACAATTAGAGCTTATCAAAGCAAGCAGATCATAAATCTCTTGACAAAACACGTGTCAATCTTAACTCCATATATCAAAAGAGGTATAATTACACCATAAGCATGCACCAAAACAAATAGCAAAGCAAGCTAGTTTATACATGTCAACCCAGCAAAAGTCCAAGGCAATGGCTGACTCCAGTTCAACCCAAATAGAGAACTTAATAATAGAACATCTCAAAACAATTGAAGACAATCACAACGAAGGAGAACAAAGATGGTTTCGTACTTTAATTGAAGATGATGCAACAAATACAGTATCAGATTTGAAAGATCTAGAAGCAATTGTAAACATTATAGTTATAGACGCGATAGCTGTAAAGCTTCTCAATATCAACTCACATACAGCTGTAAAATGGATGCTAGCCAAGAAATACATCAAACAAATCTGGACATTCAATCAACTAGACATGAACATATTAAACAGATACATATTAGAAGATCCATAACAAGTATCCCAGATTGTAGATATTCTCCATTCAGTCCAAGACTTACGATATTCACAAAACAAAGACTCAGAAATTACATTACCCTCTGGACAAACCATAACAAAATAGTAACCATAACTATTAATAAGAAATAGTTGAAAGAGAAATTATTATGAATGAACAAATTTCAGATAATATAAGCGAAAATGAAAAATACACTTAAATACCTTTTTCCCAAGAGCACATAGAAACAACCAATACCTCAAACATTGCAATACAAATGGATACTATGCAAACAGAAGAAAATTCAAATAATGAATCTCAAGCAATAGAAGACATAGTTTCAAACCTCACAGCAATGGAAATAATAATAGAATCTAAAGAGGAAAATGAAAAAGAGATTCCAGTATAACCACCAACAGATAAGTGTATCACAACTATACAAAATTACCATATAAAAAACAAGCAATACATACTTACCAACTCCTTTTTCATTAACAAATCAGGTGAATTCAAAATAGAAGCACTTGCAGCAAACACACCTGGAGATTCCAAGGAAGAACAAATCAAATATATTGCCAACCTCCTCCACTTATCAAAAGACAAGTACAAACTTATATAAACACCATTCATCAATAGCAACAGATGATACACTGTTCATCTCCAATATAAAGAAGACATGGAAAGATGTTTAAACAAGTTGGGAAAAGGAAAAGAAGACTTTGAGTTCATTATCTTAAAGCAAACTGAAAACACTTCATCTTTCAAAACAAATGTTAAAGAATCTATCAAAGAAAACAACACTGAACATAACAAATTCAAGCTTTCAGAACATAACAGTCCATATTAACTTAGAATAAAATATAGCATGATTCAAGACAAAAACAGAGAGGAACAATTGCAAAACCTAACCAACTTCTTAAAAGTTCCTTTGTCATATAAAGGAATACAAGTCAAGGTCTTAGGGAAAAATAAATAGACAATGTTACATTTTCAAAAACATGACAGCATGCTGAAATGCAAGCAAGAATTAATGGTCTTTCAACCCCAAATGACCATTCTGACCCCTTACGAAAAAGGTATAAGTGATATACTTTCACAAGAAAATGAAGGCATCACAGACAAAAAGATAATAGAGGAAAAAGTTATAATAATAGATATTCCTTTTGAATTTTCAATCAAAAGACTTAGAGGAACCATATCCAAATATGGCTTAATCTCAAACATACAAATGGAAAATGGCAATAGCAACTTCAAATCAGCAACATTTATGTTCTCAACACTTCTAATAAACCTAGAAGAAACATGGGCCATACCAATGAGAATGGTAATAGCCAGAATCACACCATATCAAAATTATACCAAGACATTAGCCCAACGTAACACCATCATTACTAGACTATACAGACTAAACAAGAATGTCTCAGCAATCAGAATAATGAGTGCAACCAAACATATCAACACCAAAACTGTTCATATATCCACAAATAGTAAATCAGAAAAGAAGAAAAACTTTGCTATCCTTGGCTTCTCTAATACAGAAGACTTGAACAAAGTCTTAAAGTTGTATATGGAACTTTTTGGAAACAAGACCTGGTGAAGTAACTGAGACAATACAAAAACTACCATCAAAGCAAGTATCAAGTCTCAGAAAAACGGATACTTAAAGCATATGAACTCTAAATATTCCAATACAGAAGAAGAAGATATAATGAGTATTATCTCAGAAGAGGAAGCTCCAAAGTCTAAAACAGATTAATTCATTAAGATCAAAATCCTCAACAATACTTATTCAAATAGAAAATATTGGGATGCAAATCAGGAAAAAGAAAATAATATCTGGCAACAAATTACAAATGTATTGGAAAAAATTAATGATCAGTTATACAGACTAGAGGAAAGATATGACAACCGAAAAAAGTTATATAACTGCTTCTAAAAGTAGTTGCATCAGTCAAAATTACAACTAATACTGAAGATTCAAATACTGTTATTACACAATCCACATCAACAATACATCTATTCTCTTTAGCAACAAACATCAATATTGACAATACCTTACAAATAAAAAAATTCCTATCCAATCAAAAAACATTATTTCTAAAAAATCAGAGAAGAGAAATTATATTAACTTCTCCAAGCAACAACGATAATATCCAAACACCACAGATAACAATAGCAACACACAATATTAGAGGAATCACTTGAGATACAGATCAAACCAACCTAATAATAGAAATGTTAGAAAGGAAAATTGATATCCTAGGCCTATATGAAACAAAACTATTCAAGGAAAACCAATACTTCACCTTTCTAAACCAAAAAGAATATAAAAGTATTTCAAGTATTGAGCCAGACAACCCCAGAAGTGCAGGAGTTCTACTACTTATTTATAGAAGTATTGAAAGATATATAGCATCAATAGACAAAATTGAAGGTCACCTTATAGCAATCAATCTTCTAAACAAAAGTCATAAAACATGAATTGCTCAAGTATACCTTCCCAGCAACAAAAAGAAAAGCCGGGAACTACAGAAGAGAATCTTAAACCTACTACAGACCTATGCACAAAAAAACTATGAGATCATAATAATAGGTGACTTCAATGCAACAACTAATCCAAGAGTAGATCATAGAACAACAAGTAATATGCAAGAATTTTTCAAGCCTGAAGATTCTGAAATCGAACTGTTTAGTCTCATGGATAATTGGAACCTCTCTGATTTTTACCAACTATAGGAACCAATAGAGACAACCCACACATGGAAAAACAATACAAGCTCCAGCAGAATTGACTATATCTGGGGATCTTATAGCATAGCAAACAATATACTCCAGTTTAATAATGAGGACTTTCGCTCAATTTCTAACAGTGATCATACCATATTATCTGTTCAAATCACACAAGATACCATATTTAAAGATAATCAAATAAGCATAGAAAAACCCAAGCCTTATAGGGAAAAAATAATTAACATCTCTAAAACAATAGAACACAATAGAAAAAATATGATCACAAGGTTAATCTAAAGCCACAACAAAACAACATTTCAAACCTAATCCAAACAATACATTCCAACCACACTGATGACAACAAGCGCAAACAATTAATCCAAGACTTATAAAAGGTATTCGAAAAGATTCTAATATCCTTAGCTTTTAACCACTTATATTGCAAAAAGAGAATAACAAGAGAGAAGATCAAGACAAACTTTTACAAAAAAAGTCAAAGAGAACAACTTGTGCTTCACAGTCATCATCAAATTACCAAGATTCTTAACAACTGGTCCAGTCTACTAGACCTATTGAAAGGACCATTCCAAAAAGAAAAGCTATGGTATAAATGCAAGAAAATCAACCAAGATATAGTATTAATAGCACCTGTATTCAAATCAACTCAAGCTTTGTCAAACATTCTTGAAGAAGAAGAAAAGGAAGACATTTTGATGCAATAGCTTAAAGAGACAGTTAGCTTGCTTAAAAAAATATGTATCAATAAAAAAAGAAACAGAACTAACACAGAAATCAGACAAGTGATTCAAAAAAGATACAAGAACCTTAGAGAGAATCAAAGAAAGATAGTACAGGATTTGACAAACAACTTTCAAGACAAAATTATTATAGACAGAATTCGTATCCAAGACGAGAGTACATATCAATAAACAAAGAGAAAATTCTGTACCAAACCGCAGAGTACTATAAAAAAGCCTTCAAGAAAAGAAATAATAACTTTGATCTACTAGACGAGAAATGGAAGAAACAGTATACTTTTAAAGCTGAAATAAAAGAAGAATGGTATAATGGGATAACAAACACTATTTCAGAGAATAAGTTGAAAGAAGTCTTGAAAGATCTTCCAAATGACAAAGCAGCAGAACCCAACAATATCAAATACAAGATGCTCAAAAATCTCAAAACAATAGAAAAAAGGATATTATGTCAACTCATAAACATATACCTAACCTACAATATGACTTCTGCAACATGGAAAGAAAGTCTACTATATCCAATCTTGAAGGGAAAAGAATGGCAAGGCATCCTAAGCAACACTAGACCAATAGTTTTTCTGGATGTCTCATGAAAGTGTTTTATTAAAATTATTACTAATTGACTATCAACCATATGCAAAAGACACAATATTCTAAAAGACACTAATTTCGCAGAATTGCCAGGAGAAAGCACTTCAAAACCCATCCACTTGCTAAACAATATTTGTGAAGAGGCTAGAGAAAAGAAAAAGAAATTGTGAATTCTATTTCAAGATACTGCCAAAGCATATGACATGATTAGTTTGGAGATATTATAAAAAACACTTCAAAAAATCAAAATTCCAGAGAACCTCATCACACTTATATTAGATCCTTTCATTAATAGATATTTACAAATAATTACTAATGTAGGAATTACAAAGAAAATAATGACGAGGGATGAAATAGATCAAATGAAAACAATCTCCTTTCTTCTTTGGCGTATTTTTTATGATTCCTTGCTATGCGAAATCCAGGAAAATACAAAACTGGGATATTCCATAAACTGTGAATGGAGAACCAACCACAGTAAAAATAAAACCATGCAATTGAATACCTGACAAGCTGCGATAGTATATATAGATTATACATGTTGCTGAAATTCATAGATCCTTGATACAATTGATATAATTATTTGATACAATTAATTGAGTCACTATTAAAACATATAAAT